GGACATTTCCTTCTTAAATGGCATTTGTAGCTACAATGTCCAAGACCTTGAATTAACTACATTCAGCACCTGGGAGGTCACAGTTGGGTGCTCTCCTGAACTCTTTCTCCAAGAACTTGGAAAGAAAACAAATTCAATAAGATGGTAGTGGTTGTTAGGTGCCCTCGTGTTGGCTGTAGGTAAACAGCTGCCATGCATAAAGGTAAGAAGAGCTGCTATGTGTAAAGGCTAAAAACGAGCTCTCTCCAGAAGTCAATTCCAAAGCCAAGACATGGTTTGGGGTAGAAATATGTGGGTAAAGCTTTTGAAAAGTGAATGTGCAAGAAAGCAGTAACTTAGTAAAGTAGTGATAATAGAAAAAAGAATGTGTGGATAAGCAGCACATGGTTTGGGTGGAGCATTGAAAAACGGACCCAAAAGGCAAGAATTTGGCAGTGTTTTTCCAACTGTGTCCAGAAGTGAGTAACACTTGGTCTGAAGAACATCAGCAGAATATTTTTTTTGGAAAATGCAAACTCCTTGCTGTAGAGTCAGAACCAAACACAGCTGACACGCCACTGGGTTTCCAAGGCTGCAAACTCTACAGGAGGAGACTGTCTATCTTTTCCCAGAGAGCAGGGTGTGGATTCCGACTGCCACATAGGGGTGGTCTTTGAGTTAGCAGTGCAATTTCCTACGTTTTGTTGCTCCTTATTCTGAGAAACGGGCCCTGGGACGAGGTTGTTGTTATGTGCTATCACCTGAAACTCATAGTGACCCTATGTACAGCAGCTCTGAACACTGCTCAATCCTCAAACCATCTTCACTATCTCCAAAACACCTATTCCCTTTATCTCAGTCACTGAGTAAATCCATCTCATCAGTGGTCTCCTCTCTTTCTCTGTCCCTCCACCCTCCGAAGCATGATGTCCTTCGCCAAGGACTGGTCCCTTCTTGCAACATGTCCAAAGTATGTCAGACGAAGATTCAGATTCCTTGCCTCCAAGGAGCAGCCTAGTTTCAGCCTCTCTAGGACAAATTTGTGTGTTCTCTTAATAATCCACGGTATACAGGGGAGCTCTGGTGGCCTAGTGGCAAGAAGCTGCACTGCAATCCCAGAGAAACACGGTTCGAATCCACCAGATGCTCTGCCGGAGAAGGAGGCGCAATATCCTCCTGTACCAGTCAGATCTGATTTGACGGTAC